ATTTTTTAGGATTTAATTCCTTTTTAAAATAGAAAACGAATTCATGATTTTTGATTGACGATATTAATTTGAAATTACTTTAGAGACCAGAGTTCTTATAATTTTTATTATTTGGATGAAAATTAAAGAATTTACTTTGGGTGAAATAATTATTTTCTTAGTTATTGAGGATTCTATTTCAATTTTTTTATTTTTTTCTTCATTAAGAAAAAAAAATAATACATCTATAAGTTTTAATTAAAAATGAACAGACTTCTCTAAGATGATTACCAAAATAAAATCAAGTCAACATGAATTTAAAAAGTTAAAATTTCCCAATCTAGATCCTGCGAGGTTCTTGATTAATTTTCCCAATATAATCTAATAGTTGATAATCAAATCCTTCTCTGAAAATCAAAAAAAGCTAAATTGATTGAAGAAACAATTTTGTCTTTCAGTCAATGTTATTATATGCAGTTGTGGAATAGTTCTTAAACCGGTTTCATCTACTTGTTTCAACAACCCTCCTAGGACATTGATATAACTTTTCAACCCAGTATGAGAAAACTACTTCCAAAGCCATACCTGCCCTCAGGTTGTACTACACTTTGATTTTGGCTCCCTCTTTGTCACGAGATAAACATTGACTTTTAAGTGGAATTGTATAATTGATTATTTCCCTGATACTTATTCTAGAGAATACTCCCAACTATGATTTCAAAGTTGATACCATATGGTATAATCCGATTGGAATTAAACAGGCCAATATTCGCAAACTTAGAATTTATATTAAAATCAAAAATTTATTCCCAAAATTAAAAAAAATTTCGCTGATGATGTCAGAATTGGCATGTCCTGAGGAACTGCCCCGTGAGCCTGCCCTGTTACCTGACGGACTGAGACAGACTTAGAACGGACATGATGGCATCGGAAAACACATCAGAAAAGGGAAATGAGTGAGGTTTAAATTAGAAGCCCCTAACAGCCCGGTCGAGCCTAACTGCTCGGAGGAGGATGCTGAATTGTATTTATTCCCCCATTCACTTTTCTATCTCATATAAAATATTTGGGTTTTCGACTTTTCTTTCTTTCGTTCCGTTGATCCCTTACAGAGCTACATCATATGCATTTCTCCCTATGAGAAATTATTGAGCCATCACTTTTCATTTACTTCATAGTTCCTATTCCTCTCCTTTATACTTCGCCATTAGCTATTTCACCGAGTTCGAAGAACTAGCTTATAAGAGGGATCGGATTGATTTAAGTTTATCCTGTTTTTGATTTAAGGGCACTCTTTGAGTTCACTGTTGTATTTTCGCTTCGAAGATTACAAATTAATTTCATTTAAGAATAAAATCCAAGAAGTAGAGTTAAAATTGAAATGAGTAGAGCTAGTTAAAGATGTGTAGGTAAGATACCTTATTCTAAATTAAAGTGTTTCATTATTAGAAAATTACATTATAATATTTATATTAATTATCTTCTTAAAAAAGTAATTATCTTATATATAGTAACTTTTGTAGCAGATCACATTATTTATATTCCTTCTATATTAATTCCTTTTTAAAAATTTAAATTACTTGAATTCTAACTCTTTTTTAAATACACTTTATTCCCT